CTTTGTTATCTTTCGCCTCTCTCTTCGATCAATTTGATTGGGAGTTAGGACATACTGATTTAGGCCCAAACTTGTCTCTGATTGTTCAGTGATTATTGCAGATGTAAATCATACTAGCCTTTACAAGGTTCTATATGGTATGTTTTTGATCATTGTGGAAGGCTGTATGGTTGCATATAACTGCTTACATCCACTTCATTTGAACTTGAGTGGATAGGTGTCTCATTGGCAATCATATCACATCTCCTTATTTTTACAGTATTGTATTAGTACTGCTACAAATTTGGCTACTTCCTGTTTATGAGGCCGGTGCCTTAGAAAAGAATTGTAACAATGGATCCAATCTTTCAAAAACCAGACTAACTTTACTAGGAGCAGCAGTTAGTTGTCATAGATACTCATGTATAAATAGGCAAAAAAAAACATTTGCCACTTTTATAAAAGGGACTACACATAGTTTTTGAAAGGGTATAATCGGTTTGTGCCGAAAATACTTTCTTTTGTCCCGAAACTCATTTGTGCTAAATGGTAATCTCCACCCACATGTTCGTGTTGCTTAGTCTTTAGTTTTCTATGTTGTGTCTTGTGTACTATTATTTGTCTGTTTGTCTTTTTCTTTGATAGCCATGGCGTTGTCAAGTTTATTTTCTATCTATGAGTTTGTCCATCTGGTATCTTTCGCCCCTCTTTTATGACTGACAGTTCCCTAAGGCTGATATTTGTAGTTTTTATCAACAGCTTGCAATTTCTAAATTATATTTGCTTCTTAAGACTGACCAAAACTGCTTTTTAACAGTGTAATTTGATTAAGGTAGTGTTTATCAAACAACTGTTGGAAATATTTTGGACAACCCTCTTATTTACAATATTATTTGATTAACACATAGTGATCTTTGATGGTATCTTGCATAACATTAATAAAGTCTTTTTTAACAGGCAACTTGAATTTATTGGCCCCTTATTTATGTGCATCTATAGCACATGCATGTACTGCTGATCTGCATATATGATAGCAATATATTCTTATGTTTTCAATCACCCCTTATTTCTTCACTCCATTTTATAAGATAACAATCTTTTTTATTCCATATTTTATTGGTTTTTTAAAAGGTATCATTATTTAGACATAAAGACAAAACTAAGCACAGTGAAAAATGTCTTTGACACTTGTATGGAAACACTAAATCTTGATTACCTACAACAGAATTATTATCACTTTTAATAAATAAGTCCAATTCAGTTGCTGCAATTAACATACATGTAATAAGGAAAATGACAAAATTTAATAGACAAGATCAGATCTCCACGTGAAGAATATTCAAAAATATATCAAACATAAAAGCCAAGAACAATAAGTTTTATTTGCCATTTAAGGACAAATAGGACCATTCCACCATTTGAAGGGGAAACAACGAAATGTACAGATTACATAAAATTTCAATGCAGAAATACAATTTATGTGCAACACTTTTCATTTAAATAAATAAATTCTACACACAGTATTTGTCTATACCTACCGTTGGTGGTTACCATACAATACAGTACTCCTATACAAAGTCTATATACAGTATTTGTCCATACCTACCGTCGGTGGTTACCATACAATACAGTACTCCTATACACAGTCTATATACAGTATTTGTCCATACCTACCGTCGGTGGTTAACATAAATTATAAGACTCCTATACAGAGTCTATATACAGTATTTGTCCATACCTACCGTCGGTGGTTAACATACAATACAGTACTCCTATACAAAGTCTATATACAGTATTTGTCCATACTTACCGTCGGTGGTTACCATACAATACAGTACTCCTGTACAAAGTCTATATACAGTATTTGTCCATACCTACCGTGGGTGGTTACCATACAATACAGTACTCCTGTACAAAGTCTATAAACAGTTTTTGTCCATACCTACCGTGGATGGTTACCATACAATACAGTACTCCTTTACAAAGTATATATACAGTATTTGTCCATACCTACCGTCGGTGGTTAACATAAATTACAAGACTCCTATACACTGTCTATATACAGTATTTGTCCATACCTACCGTCGGTGGTAACCATACAATACAGTACTCCTATACACAGTCTATATATACAGTATTTGTCCATACCTACCGTCGTTGGTTACCATACAATATAGTACTCCTATACACAGTCTATATAAGTATTTGTCCATACCTACCGTCGGTGGTTACCATACAGTACAGTACTCCTATACACAGTCTATATAAAGTATTTGTCCATACCTACCGTCGATGGTTACGGGGCATACAATACAGTACTCCTATACACAGTCTATATATATACAGTATTTGTCTATACCTACCGTCGGTGGTTACCATACAATACAGTACTCCTATACACAGTCTATATACAGTATTTGTCCATACCTACCGTCGGTGGTTAACATACAATACAGTACTCCTATACACAGTCTATATACAGTATTTGTCCATACCTACCGTCGGTGGTTACCATACAATACAGTACTATACACAGTATATATACAGTATTTGTCCATACCTACCGTCGGTGGTTACCATACAATACAGTACTATACAAAGTAAATATACAGTATTTGTCCATACTAACCGACGGTGGTTACCATACAATATAGTACTCCTATACACAGTCTATATACAGTATTTGTCTATACCTACCGTCGGTGGTTAACATACAATACAGTACTCCTATACACAGTCTATATACAGTATTTGTCCATACCTACCGTCGGTGGTTAACATAAAATACAGTTAGAGTATTAGGAGTAAATTATATATGTATGATAAGTAACACAACTATTTTACGCAACAAATGGTATGAATGAATGTTGTATTATTATTTAAAATATTATGATTTTACCCAGTGAATTTTTATTTGGTCTGTTGATTAGTTTTCATTGATAAGTTTATCAGGACTGGGTTGAAACTAACCTTCAGATTTTGAAGGCTGCATCAGGTACCAGGATTGTAGTATAAAATTTTACTACCTGTTAACCCATGAGTTAATCAATTTTATAAATCAACAAGCTATTAGCTTAACAGGCTAGGTAAAATTGTTCAACGATTGTTTCATTGTTCTTTTTAATAAAAAAAAAATACCTGTTTCAGTAGACTGAAAATAATATTATTTTATAAAGGAGGATGCATTTAGATCAAATTGTGACATGAAAATGTCAAGATTCATTCCAAATTATGGACAAATGATAATGCTATTAATAAAACCAAGTCGTAACCTTTCTCTTTTCTATTTACATTATTTATGACTAGGTAATAATGATTACTTGTTTCAACTATTTTCATACTCTTTTGTTTTCTCTACTTTTCTATCAAGGACATAATTGTTTATTGCAAACTAAACATCTGCATATTTAAACTATTCCTGACTATACTCTACCTCAAATTCTGGAAACTGCAACATTTTTCTTATCATGCTTATGGCATGAATGGTAGCTGAACAATTTCTATTTTTTGGTAATCTGGATTAGTCTTTTGCCACTGTTCTGTCCATTCTGGGGCTACATAAAAAAAACCATGACAGAATTATTAAAATTATTTGTATAATGTTTGTGTACAGTCATGTTCTTAAAAGGACAAAAAATATGTTTAGTGTACAAATAAATAATTGTGATTTTAATATCTTAATATTATAAAAGAAAAGATTCAATTTATATTTTAATTAAAACATGAATGAGCACATATAAATCAACCTTTTACTCAGATTTAAATCTATCACCAGTTATTATAATTACTAGCTATGACTATCATCATCTAATTTTACAAGACAGTATTTGCATGTATTTTAGTGGCACATCCTGCACAATTAGTATGATATGCCTTAGGTGTCATTTTGATGCAATCACATTGCAGGTGGTTCATGTCTTGGGTTTTTATTAATGAATAAATTACAGTTTAGGCTGACCTGAGGTCAATAGGCATAAACAATGTCATCAAACTATCGGTTTTTATTGTAATATAATGATATTGTGACATTTATGGGAAAGAGCATAGGAGTTGGTCATATTGGTCAATAAATTTGAAAGTTTATAACTATGTTAAAGAGCTCCAAAAGTAGGCGTGCATAGTTGCACTGGGCGTGTCTAAAAACCGACCCTCGGTGGTTAACGTCCGTCCCTCGCTGGTTAACTTTAAGTGCCGATGACTTTGATAAAAATTTGTTAGTGGATAATTTCGAAATAGTTTGATATTTTTCATTAATCACTTCATGCATAAGTGGTCCACTTTCATTTGGATCTCTTTAAAATCTCTTCTCATGGAATTGTTTGCACTAATTGTGTTACCAGAACCCTTTTTGTCTCTCCTATATTAATTTAAACAATATAACAGTTTTGAGCTATCTTCAGCATTTACATTTTGATAGCATTTACAGATGTACACCCTGAGTAATGTTATTACAACCGCAAAGTGCACGTATGAATCTGTCACTGTGGATTTTGGTTTAGAAGACTTTTTAAAAAACAATCCTGGTGTGACATAAATTCAGAGGGAATTGGCCCTACCTTAAGTGGTAAATTTTGAAAAGGTGTATTTAAATAGATCCAAAGGAGATTGGCCCTCCCTCTTTGCCATCGCAGTCAGTCCACTTTATTATGAATTTATTATTTATGTGTTTGCGTACTGAATATGCATGAAATACTTGCCACTGAACATTAATCAAACAACACCAACTAAATCTCAACATGGTGTATATGTGGTAGTGTGTTTATTTGGATATTTTTATTTTTGTATTATACTTTGATATTATTTATCTGATGAGTTAAATATATTAGTTATAAGTACTTATTGAATAGTTTCTAGTCATGCATCAGTGGTTATATTTATTTTAAGACTTCTTCATGGCTTAGTGAGTTTTGATCCATTGGTTATATGAGTTCACTCTCTAGGTTTTACTAGTTTATGTTATGAAAACTCTCTCTGCTTTATGATAATTGGTTCATTAAGTCATATGTCTATTTTGGAGGGAAATTCTTTTGTTTGGTTGGAATTTGCTTTTTTTTTTAACTGAACGGTGTTATGAAGATCTTTGTATAATTTGTATTCATATTTGGTGGACATCTTTGATTTTTATAAAATAAGGTCAGTTTTCTCAACTTTATATCTCACATTCCTACAAATACACTATGAATATACAGTATAGATGATAGACGATGTTGTATGAATGGCCAGAATGAATGATTTCAGAATGAAGGTGCATATGATAGAATAAAACATATAAAAGTATAAAAATATATGAAATATCAGTTAAATCAGACAATCTAATCATTTTATAAGTATTTAAGCGTCTAAAATTATATGCATAACTCAGATTGAGTGAAAAGAATCAACAGTAAATAGATAAAATATTTTTTTGTATCAAAATAGTAATTTGTATGTTAAGACATATATATATTCAAACTATTAGATAATTTCATACATAAACTATAACACACAAAGTTATGATTATATTTCTTATTACAGATATTGAACCATACTGTTCCAATATTGAACATGATGTACATGGTGTAGTACCATAGGTTCCATAGTTTTGTGTATACATGACCTTTGTACCTCATACATGGTAAGTTTTGTATTCTGTTTATATGTGTGTTTTTGTGCTTAATATGTGTCTTAAGCTCTGCTATACTATATGTTTCAAAACTTGGTGTGTTATGTTGCTGTTCCCTTTGCTTTATGTGTACTAGATTAGTACAATGTTGGAAGTCATTTTAATCGAATGACCTGAAAAATAAATCAGAAGAATATTTGGTAGAATTTGATATGTTAGATATTAAGATGTATAATTTATGATGAGAACAAAATTTAAAACATGGAAACCACAGTTTTTCAGTAGGAAATATTTGAGTTCTGTCATCTAAAATTAATAGAGTTATCTTTCTTTGCACTGATTATTTTTATATTGCAGTGTCATTATCATAAATAACCAGTGACCTTAGGTGTTTATTTTATTATGCAACCAAAACAACCTGATAACATATAAATAATTTCAAAAGTATTCCTATTTGTTAAGCATGTTTTTATGTTTTGCAGGGAATGATTAATAGCGACTTGAAATAAATGAACAATCTTCAGAGTTAAATGCATAGAAAGGAAACATACCAATGCTTGACTTTAAAGGAGAAGCAATTATGAAATTGGTACAAAGGCAATGGTCATACATCACAGAAGTCTCAAAACAAAGTGTACAGGTAAGCAACTTGATTGGTTGATTTTAATCTTTTGTCATATATTAAGGAGATTCGGTATGATTGGCATGAGACAATTATCCAACGGAGTCCAAATAATGCAGATTTAAGCAACAGTTACTATAGGTCACCATACAGCTATCAACAATGAGCAATACTATATAGTCAGCTATACAGGCCCCAACATTGTTTGTTTACTGTTTTGTGGCAACTGTTTCATACATAATCAAGGCAGATGAAAAAATCATAATCTCTTAAGTAGCTTCTGCAAATTTGGTGAAAACTTGTTTCTAGAGGGGAGGGACCATCACTGAAAAGTAGGATCTGTTGCAACAAACCATCTGCAGATTCTTCATATAAAGAGTTGCTACACAAGAGTCCATTATTTAAATAGAAATAGAAATAGAAATATTTTTCATTAATTTTCCTAAAAATCTTTCATCAGATCAGACTTTTTCTGTTAAAACATATTGTTATGCAATCATATTACCATTTGCTCATCTCATTTCCATGGAGATTATATGGTCAAGCCCCATCATCATGGTTCATTGACTTTAAACGTTTGTATTGTTTACATGTTAAAGTTTGTGTTAAGTCAAGTTTTTAGGGAACCACTTACAATGTATGATGTCAATGGTATTGGGTATAAAGTATTAGCATTGGCACTTCTTGTCTCCACGAAGGTTATTAGGTCTTGCACCTTCAGTCATGGTTCGTTGGCTTTAGATTGTTTGCATTCTCAGAGAACGGTTTTATAGAGGTACTGGCTACAATTACTCACAAAAAGTAACCTAAGTAATAGTTACTTCCAATACTAATTGCTAAAATGTATTTTCATGTATGTTTTTGTATGATTTTGCTCATTTTCTGTATTTTATGCCAGGCCGTTTTTATATTAATTCCATTTTCAAGACATCTTATAAAGTTAAAAAGATATCTTTTCAACAAAATAAGATGTCTTAATATAACCTTTATGATAAGATATCTTATAAAGTATATATAATATCTTGTATTTTTTTTAGATCTGATTTAATCTGAAGTTCATAAGATATAGTATATACGTTATAAGATATCTAGATATATTATAAACAAATAGAGATATCTTATAAACTTAATAAGATATCTTATAATCTTATAGAGATATCTTTTAAACTTATAGAGATCTTATAAACTAATAGAGATATCTTTAAAACTAAATAAGATATCTTATCTATTAAATAAGATATCTTATAAATTTAAAAGGATATCAGATAAATTAAGATATCTGATAAATCAATCATATAAGATATCTTGTATATATCTTATAAAGGTAATAAGTTATGTAATAAAGTAGATAAGATATCCTTTATACTTTTAAAGAAATCTTATAAACGATACATGATATCTCATAAAGTAGACACAAAATTATCTAAAGTATATTTGTTTATTTGATCACAGTTTTGTCGTCAATTATTTTTGTTTTCTCTTGATATGAACATGTGTAGTAATTTCTTTATAATTTAATTTGGTTGAAATATATAGCAAATTTATGAATAAAAAATAAAACTTATACTTTAATATCATCAAAAAATGAAAACGCTCCACAACAAATATACAACCTAATAAACAATAAAGTTGTGACAGTTCTGCCTCTATTGGTACAAATGTACCAAGTTGATTAAAATTCAACCAGAAATGTCTCCATAATATTTTTTTTTGAAAAAACATAGTTTTCTATGAAATATAAACAGTATTCAAAAAGTGACGAATACTTTTGGCAATTCACTCATACATAATAATAATAAATAATTTAGGTACCTTTAAAAGTATAATTTATGTAATAAATAAAATGAAAGGTTTATATTATACAATTGCATAGATTGAACATGAATAAATTATTTATCAATTTGAATTTAATAAAAGTATGCACTGTCCCTGGTTAGGGGGAGGGTTTGGCGCCAGCAAACATGTTCAACCCTGCAACATTCTATATGTGCCTTTTCCGAGACAAGAGCCTGTAATTGAGTGGTTGTTGTTTAGTGCTGGTTCTCATATTTTTTTTTCGTCTATTGTTTTGTAGTTTGTTCTTGTATTGTGCAGTTATACCACTATTCCCGGTTAGAGAGAAGGTTGACTTCTTCAAACGTGTGTAACCCCGCCACATTCTGTATGGGGACAGTGACTGTCCTGTCCCAAGTCAAGAGCCTGTAATTCAAGGGTTGTCATTTGTTGCTGTATATCATATTTGTTTTTCATTTATTGTTTTGTACATAAATCTGGCTGTTAGTTTTCTTGTTTGAAATGTTTTTACATTTGTCATTTCTGAGACTTTTAAGGCTTACTATGCGGTACAGGTTTTGCTCATCGTTGAAGGCTGTACAGTGACCTATAGTTGTTAACTTTTACATCATTTGGTTGGAGAGTTGGTCTTATTGGCATTCGTACATCTTCGTATTTTTGTAGCTCTTTTGCAGTCAATATTTTGGTAGTCTGTGATTAGAGATTTTAAAACCAAAAATCTCCATGGAATTTTAAAACAAGACTTGGTCAGAAGCTTCTTCATAGTTAAGAGAGAATACCCTGAGCAAAATTTAGACTTTTCTTATATATCTATTTTTATCTAACTAATAAAGGGACTCACATTACTAAATTGTAAATGGTTAAAGATAGCTCAAAATTTCAAATTTTGATAGATTTGTCAAATTTCTGGTATTTACCTCAATCATGTTTAAAAACGACATTCTTTACAAAAACCAAAATGCATTTTTTGTTTTAACAATATTTTATAAACTAAAAAAATATCTTAAATTCTAAATAAGATATCTTATAGACTGAAAATGATATCTTGTATTCTTTATGAGATACCTTATTTAATTTGAAGAAAATAAGATATGTTACATACTTTATAAGATATTTTTATCTATTAATAAGATATCTTATTAACTATATATGGTATCTTATTGTGTTAATAAGATATCTTATAACATATATAAGATATCTTATCATCAAATTAAGTAAGATATCTTATAACATATATAAGATATCTTATTATCATCAAATTAAGTAAGATATCTCATTCAGAATACAAGATGATATATTATATACTTTATAAGATATATTATTAACATATAAACCAGGGGCAGATCCAACCATTTTTAAAAGGGGGAATCCAACCATATGTCCCTATTCAAAAGCATTGATCGTAAAAAAAAAGGAGGGATTCCAACACCCAGAACCGCCCCCCCCACACCCTGGATCCACCACTATAAACTATTTTGAAATTGAATAATATAAAACGGCTTGCCATGCACAGGTACAGGGAAAATCAATTAATCTTTCTCAAATAATTTTTCTATGAAATATTTTTCATTTTGTCTGAAGTTCCAATTTATGTACATGTATACCCTATGACCTCCCTCTTTTTCCTTTTTTGCATTTAATTGGTATTACAATTTGCATTGTGCAATTATTTAAATATTAGCTGGTATTGAATAAAGTTTCATGTTTATTTACCAATTCAAAATTTTTAAACTGAACATTACATAAGAATATTTGATTTAAGGATGATTTAACTCCTACAAGCAGCAAACTTAATTTAGGATTATAAATCTTGTTTTTACATTTCAGTAATGTGGAGAGAAGTTCAGAACAAGCTATTTTGTTTGAAGAGGAATCACAGTGGTCAAGACTTATCTTTAAATGAAGTGGAAGTGAAGCATTGAACATAGTCATGAGACAATAATTAATATTTAACTGTTATTTCAAAGTGGATGGAATCTGACTAGCATTTGTTTGACTTTTAAAACGTGGCATTTTTTTCCATATGAAGACTTACAAGGCAAAGAATTGGATGTGACAAAAATTTGTGTATTTTCTAGACATGAAGATCTTGTACTGTCTTCTGCAGATTTCAGGAGAATTTGTTTTAGATGGTAACAAGTATATGTAATGAAGAATGTTGATTTTCTCATTTTTTTTTGTTATAATATGATTTCAACCTTGAATTTATTAAAGTAAAAACATAAATGTTGGACAAAGTTCTTTTTTTTTTTCATGCCACTTATTACAGAAATATTCTTATATACTAATTCTTGATAGATGTGCTTAATGGAAATTCCATACAAATGGCCTTGTGGAAGTCTTTTTGTCTCAAACTTCTTATGTTCATTATTCTGCTGTTTGGGCAAATACAATGTTTGTTTATTTAGTAAATAGTAATGGTTAAACATCTAACGCATCCACAGGATATGTAGACAGGAAATTACTCAAACTCTATTTTTTATACCTTACTTTAAAAATATGATTTGTTCATTCTTGAGAATATCACAAATCAAAATTGGAGTTTTGTTTGATTGTTGGGCCCATGCTGTTCAGTGTTGGAATTTTGTAAAATTAATTGCTCAGTTCCAGTACTCAACATACCATTTTTTGTGTGTCACATCTATAATCAAGATTGCACAAGAAAAAACATGTACTGGTCTTGCAGCTACATGGTGCAAAAAGCTCATGCAAGAAAATATGCTTGTTTATGTTAATGTCTTGCTGTCTATCAAAAGCCCTTAATTGGAACAGTAAATATTTTTATTTCCTTTCAAAATTAAAGAAAATATATGTGTATTCTTCCAATTTTTTTATCTTTTTATTTCATAGATTCCATTAGATAGTTTGGTATTACACATTGTATATGTGTTCATAGATTGATTAACTTAATGCCACACTTACTTCATTTGTATCAATTTAAGGAAGTCACAACTAATGACTAAGGAAACAGGATTCTGACAACTGATCATTCTAAATTATAAACTGAGAAACTGTATTGTGTATCTCAATGGGTAACACTGTAGTTTTCTGTGATGCTAACCCAGCATCACAGAAAAGTACAGTTTTCCTCTCAGCCAGTAAGGAATGAGGTAATTATCCCTACAGACCAAAGATCAAAGATAATGAAGTAATAATAGCTTATCATGGATTTCAATACAAAAGAAAGGTCACATATATGATATAACATTCAAATACCATTAGATACTATTAGTTATAATCGTTTATTGGTAAAAGACTGTATTTTGACATCTTCATGTATATTTGCTTGAACTTTATTGTTGAGTTTCTGTCACACTGTGTTTATCCAATGGACACAACTTTTTCAATCCTTTCAAAAACTTTTAACAAAAATACTTAGTAGACATTTATAGAATAAAACATTTCACTTCTTACCACAGGGAACTGTTATAGTGTTCAACTTTGAATCAAGAATTTTATGTTATCATATTGCAGGAGACCTTCAGTAGTTATATTTTTTAAATTGTTTTCAGTGACTGACATGAAAAACATAACATAACTTACCAGTAAGCATTGGATACTTGTACACACGTATGGGAAGTTAAGCCGCTCTTTGTGTTTAGGGTTCATAGATGCTACACCTCTGCTCTAGGTATAGTAACGTCCCCTACCATACGTACCAAGTATCCACTATTACTGGTACAAACTGAGAGTGAGGCGGCTCGGTTTGGCTGAGAGTGAGGCGGCTCGGTCTGGCTGAGAGTGAGGGGGCTCAGTCAAAAAATTTTTGGGGATCTTTTATCCCCCGTACCAAGTATTTGCTATTCCCGGTACAGACGGAGAGTGAGGTGGCTCAGTCAGCATGTGAAGCTCTGTAACATGATTTTAAATGAAAAGGGACATTTTATATGTTTTTTATCGAATTTTAACTGGGGATGTTTTACTGTTTTTATGCAAATTTTAATTGGGGATATTTTACTGCTTTTATCCAAATTTTAAAAGGGACATTTTACTGTTTTTATCCAAATTTTAATTGGGGATATTTTACTGTTTTTATACAAATTTTAAAAGGGATATTTTACTGTTTTTACCCAATTTTAATGGGGATGTTTTACTGTTTTTATCCAAATTTTAATTTGGGGATATTTTACTGTTTTTATCCAATTTTAATGGGGATATTTTACTGTTTTTATCCAAATTTTTAAAGGGATATTTTACTTACTGTTTTTATCCAAATTTTTATTGGGGATATTTTACTGTTTTTATCCAAATTTTAAAAGGGATATTTTACTGTTTTTATCCAAATTTTAATAGGGGATATTTTACTGTTTTTATCCAAGTTTAAATTGGGGATATTTTACTGTTTTTATCCAAATTTTAAAAGGGATATTTTACTGTTTTTATTTTACTGTTTTTATCCAAATTTTTATTGGGGATATTTTACTGTTTTTATTCAAATTTTAAAAGGGATATTTTACTGTTTTTATCCAAATTTTAATTGGGGATATTTTACTGTTTTTATCCAAATTTTAATTGGGGATATTTTACTGTTTTTATTTTACTGTTTTTAGCCAAATTTTTATTGGGGATATTTTACTGTTTTTATTTTACTGTTTTTATCCAAATTTTTATTGGGGATATTTTACTGTTTTTATCCAAATTTTAAAAGGGATATTTTACTGTTTTTATCCAAATTTTAATTGGGGATATTTGACTGTTTTTATCCAAATTTTAATTGGGGATATTTGACTGTTTTTATCCAAATTTTAATTGGGGATGTTTTACTGTTTTTATCCAAATTTTAATTGGGGATGTTTTACTGTTTTTATCCAAATTTTAATTGGGGATGTTTTACTGTTTTTATCCAAATTTTAATTGGGGATATTTTACTGTTTATCCAAATTTTAATTGGGATGTTTTACTGTTTTTATTCAAATTTTAATTTGGGGATATTTTACTGTTTTTATCCAATTTTAATGGGGATATTTTACTGTTTTTATCCAAATTTTTAAAGGGATATTTTACTGTTTTTATTCAAATTTTAATTTGGGGATATTTTACTGTTTTTATCCAAATTTTAATGGGGATATTTTACTGTTTTTATCCAAATTTTTAAAGGGATATTTTACTGTTTTTATCCAAATTTTAATGGGGATGTTTTGTTGTTTTTATCCAAATTTTTATTGGGGATATTTTACTGTTTTTATCCAAATTTTAATTGGTAATATTTTACTGTTTTTATCCAATTTTAATGGGGATGTTTTACTGTTTTTATTCAAATTTTAATTTGGGGATATTTTACTGTTTTTATCCAATTTTAATGGGGACATTTTACTGTTTTTATCCAAATTTTTAAAGGGATATTTTACTGTTTTTATTTTACTGTTTTTATCCAAATTTTTATTGGGGATATTTTACTGTTTTTATTCAAATTTTAAAAGGGATATTTTACTGTTTTTATCCAAATTTTAATTGGGGATATTTTACTGTTTTTATCCAAATTTTAATTGGGGGATATTTTACTGTTTTTATCCAAATTTTAATGGGAATGTTTTACTTTTTTTATCCAAATTTTAATTGGGGATATTTTACTGTTTTTATCCAAATTTTAAAAGGGATATTTTACTGTTGTTATCCAAAATTTTAATTGGGGATATTTTACTGTTTTTATCCAAATTTTAATGGGGATGTTTTACTGTTTTTATCCAAATTTTAATTGGGGATATTTTACTGTTTTTATCCAAATTTTAATTGGGGATATTTTACTGTTTTTATCCAAATTTTAATTGGGGATATTTTACTGTTTTTATCCAAATTTTAATTGGGGATATTTTACTGTTTTTATCCAAATTTTAAAAGGGATATTTTACTGTTTTATCCAAATTTTAATTGGGGATATTTTACTGTTTTATCCAAATTTTAAAAGGGGATGTTTTACTGTTTTTATCTTACTTTTTTATCCAAATTTTAAGTTTTTATTCAAATTTTAAAAGGGATATTTTAGTTTTATCCAAATTTTAATTGGTTTTACTGTTTTTATCCAAATTTTAAAAAGGGATGTTTTACTGTTTTTCTCCAAATTTTAATTGGGGATATTTTACTGTTTTTATCCAAATTTTTATTTGGAATATTTTACTGTTTTTATCCAAATTTTAAAAGGGATATTTTAGTTTTTATCCAAATTTTAATTGGGCATATTTTACTATTTTTATCCAAAATTTTAATGGGGATATTTTAGTTTTTATCCAAATTTTTAAAGGGATATTTTACTGTTTTTATCCAAATTTTAAAAGGGATGTTTTTTTTTTATCCAAATTTTAATTGGGGATATTTTACTGTTTTTATCCAAATTTTAATTTGAGATGTTTTACTGTTTTTATCCAAATTTCTATTGGGAATATTTTACTGTCTTTATCCAAATTTTAAAAGGGATATTTTAGTTTTTATCCAAATTTTAATTGGGGATATTTTACTATTTTTATCCAAAATTTTAATTGGGGATATTTTACTGTTTTTATCCAAATTTTAATAGGGGATATTTTACAGTTTTTATCCAAATTTTTAAAGGGATATTTTACTGTTTTTATCCAAATTTTAAAAGGGATGTTTATTTTTATCCAAATTTTAATTGGGGATATTTTACTGTTTTTATCCAAATTTTAATTTAAGATGTTTTACTGTTTTTATCCAAATTTTAATTGGGAATATTTTACTGTTTTTATCCAAATTTTAATGGGGATGTTTTACTGTTTTTATCCAAATTTTAATTGGGGATATTTTACTGTTTTTATCCAAATTTTAATTGGGGATATTTTACTGTTTTTATCCAAATTTTAATTGGGGATATTTTACTGTTTTTATCCAAATTTTAAAAGGGATATTTTACTGTTTTATCCAAATTTTCATGGGGATATTTTACTGTTTTTATCCAAATTTTAATTGGGGATATTTTACTGTTTTATCCAAATTTTAAAAGGGGATGTTTTACTGTTTTTATCTTAATTTTTTATCCAAATTTTAAGTTTTTATTCAAATTTTAAAAGGGATATTTTAGTTTTATCCAAATTTTAATTGGTGATGTTTTACAGTTTTTATCCAAATTTTAAAAAGGGATGTTTTACTGTTTTTATCCAAATTTTAATTGGGGATATTTTACTGTTTTTATCCAAATTTTTATTGGGAATATTTTACTGTTTTTATCCAAATTTTAAAAGGGATATTTTAGTTTTTATCCAAATTTTAATTAGGCA